ACGATTTCGCCGGTGGCAGTGTCTTAGAGATGAGCAATTCCGTCAATTTGTCCGTTGGTTCATTGATGGCCAGCCCTCTGACCCAATTTTCATGACCGTGAACGAGCTAGCGAGCCATTAAAAGCGTCGTTGTCGCAAGTGCCAGGGAGACACGAGGCGATCCTTTAATTGCAAACACTTGCCCCGACAACTGACGCACTCTCGTGCTTACAACAATCTGCTAACTCGCCTTTTGCTTTTACTACCAGATTCGACGTAACTGAGACAACTTGCGTGGTTTCCCTTTTCGGCTACCGGTCAAACTTTCGCCGAAGAATGCAGATTAACCATAGAGCGGTGTTCGGGTCTTCTTTGACCCACCGCCTTTTTATATTTTTAGTCATTTTTGCTGTTACCAAGTTCACGTTCCGTAACATTATTCTGAACGTTTATTGTCTAGGTTCGTGTGTCGCGTTGGAGACAAAAATGATTACACACAAGGTCTTAGGTCCTTTTTCACCCAAAAGTCTTGAGTGTACAGTGAAAACGAAGAACGCGGTGGGGTTAAACAGCTCGATTGCTTATCGACCAATTAGAGAAAGATATCAATTTTCGTATCGATCGTAGCAAGCGAAATTTATCTTTCAAACGTCAAGCCGCGATTTAAAATTGTAGAAACAACGGGTAGAAAGAAATTTCACGTGGTTTAATTAATCGATAATAAATCGAAGATAGATGTTTAAAAAGTACGCGATATCTAATCGCACGAGGAGCAACAATCAAGAAGTATTATATAATGAGTCGGTCGACAAATTGTTGCGTCTATTTCGCGAAGGGAAAAATTGTGATCTTCGGCGACGGTAGGTAGTGCAACATCGATGAACATTTCTGTGCGTTCTTCATCGTCGCGACATCTTCTCGACGTGCAATTTTGCGGTGAAATCCTTTGAGTTCTTCGTTGGACCGAGAAGACGACGCAGATTGAACACGAGACACGAGTGTACTTTTCAGAAACGTCCGTGGTCGGGTGGATGGAGAAAAATGATAGAGACGAGGGTTCAGCTGTAGCCCCGCATAATTTTCAACACAATAGATTCCACACCACACCCTTCGAACTTTAGAAGCGTTCTCGTGAAGACCCGGTTTCAAGATCGCCTGGTATGCAATGGAAACTATACAGGTAGACACGTCACACCCTGTCCCTAAACTTTTCGTTTTGCCTTCGAGCGGTTTCGTAAACTCTCCACGTGTCTTCTTTGGAATTTAACGCAATCTTCCCTTTTGTGCACGAAGAAAGAAGAAATAAATTAGCGTATCTGCTGTGCGATAATTAATTTTTATTGGGTGTATCTCGAAAGGGTATCGGTGGAATTTCTAATTTTGGAGGATGAGTGGTTCGTGTCTGGTGAAGAGATTGATAAACTTGGATGGCTGACTTGTTTTGATAAAGTGACATAGCGTTGGCGAAATATTTATTTGTAATTTAGTTGCGATATAAGGCTGCTTTTTTTTATTGAAATTCGATATTCTTTGCTGCAAGGGAAAAAGAGTGATCGGTGATTGAAGTAATTGCGAAGGAAATTGCAAAGCGAACGATGACGCGTTTGAGAATTTACGCAAAAACTTAAATGCCGTATTAAGTGATGGAGAAAGGTGATTTCAGATCTCGGTGAAATCTTTATTTCTTCTTTACCGAAGAGATACTCGACTATCTTTTTATTGCAATTCGATATTCTTCGCTGTAAGACAGAAGTATTAATCAGGAATTGAAATAATTGCAAAACGAAGGATGACGCGTTTGAAAATTTATGCAAACACTTAAATCGCGTATTGAGTAATCGAGAAAGGTGCTTTCAGATCTTGGCGAAATCTTTACTTCTCCTTTACTTAAGGCACTGAATTATTTTTTTACTGCAATTCAATAAGACAGAAATAGTGATCAGAAATTGAGATAATTGCAAATCGAACGACGACGCGTTCGCGAGTTCACGCAAAAACTTAAATCGCGTATTAAGTAATCGAGAAAGGTGCTTTCAGATCTCAGCGAAATCCTTACTTCTCCTTTGCCTAAATAACACAGAAACAGTCCTCGGAAATTGAGATAATTGCAGAAATCGAACGACGACGCGTTCGCGAATTCACGCAAAAACTTAAATCGCCTATTAAGTAATCGAGAAAGGTGCTTTCAGATCTCAGCGAAATCTTTATTTCTCCTTTACCTAAATAACACAGGAATTTCAGATAATTGCAGAAATCGAACGATGACGCGTTCGCGAGTGTATGCAAAAATCTCGGATGAATCGGCGGCGATAAAATGGCGCATTAAGTAATCGAGAAAGGTGCTTTCATAAGCATTGCTCGTAGCGGTGTCTGCTTCGTTCCACATGGCCGCCCCAAACTACTGCCAGAGTAATTCTTTTTCTCTTTCCTCTTTTTTTTTCTTCGCAAAGCACGTCTCTCGTACGTCATTTTCTTTTCCCGTTAATGAAATTATCGCGTGCTTACTTAATACCTAAATATAGAATTCACATCGTGCTCCACATTGTGGGTTTATATCAAAGGAGATAGTGGACGCTTGCTGGGAATGATTCGAATGTTATCGTTACCGTGCTAGAAACGGCTGGAAAGGAACACTTGCGATGACAGTTCTACCCGTGTTATCATTCTTTAAATACACGTTTGAACGTTGAAAAATTTGTACGCGTATTTATTATTGTTTCGTAATAGCCAGGTAGATTTTCTTAACGGTGCAACACTTTTGTTTGCTCTCGTTCTCCGAAATATTCCAAGTATGTAAGACAACGTCGCGCGTTCGGCACGATTGTACGATAAGAAGTTTGTTTGAATACAACTGTAAAATCTGAGAACACGATACGGTTAAACACGGTAGGAGGAAAAAAATGTATCCCGTTATACACACGTTCTTTCGTTCGGTAAACCCGTAGACAAAGGTGAACCGTGACAACAAAATGTCTCGCGAAATAGGTAGCTGAATGTAACGAAGGGAACTAGGAAGCAGAACTGCCTTCTGTTACAACCTGTACGATCTTGTCTTTTAACGGTATTATTCTAAATTGTTCATGCAGATTTTTATTTGCCACGATGGAGGAACAATTTCGACAGACCGAACGAGACGTGTTTGGTGAAAGTGAATACCTCTAGCGTGAAACTTCTTCACACCAGACTGCCCATTGTTACACCGTGCTTCCTGATTTATGTGTAGAAGAAACGATGAATTTGTGATTAATGTACCGAGTGATTTACGATTGACACGATTGATCTTTTGTTAATATTAGAACTCGTCTCGGTGGACTGAACCGTTTGGGTTTTGATTATTCTATCGTATGGAAAGGGGGAATTAGGGGGAAAAGGTGGTTCGAGTTTTCAAATTTAAATGCGTGACAAATCTGTGATTTAAAAATCCATAATTTAAAATTATGCTGGTTTAAAAATTCACGATTTAAACATTGGTGATTTAAAACTTGGCGATTTAAAAATTGGTGATTTAAAAATTCACGATTTAAAAATCCCCGATATAAATATCCACGATTTAAAAATTCACGATTTAAAAATTCATGATTTAAAAATTCACGATTTAAAAATTCACGATTTAAA